TCCAGACGGAAGGTACACAACTGAATTCAGACTCCGTGACAGTCCTAAAGTTACTTTATCAGATTTTAAAAAATAGTTTTATGTACACTTTATTGAAAGTAACGATGGAAACTTTTAAGACATAGGAAGCAGCGATGTTTCATACGGACAGCCAAGTAGTAATAAACTGAGCGCTGGTGCGAAGCCGGTGCTAGCACTCCGTAACGGGCGCCTTAACGATCTTTAAAGCAAACCAATGTGTATCCCAGACTACATTTCTGTAGTCGCTGGAGCCAGCAACTGTTCTTTATGACATACAGACATGCGCTGGGAAGCTTTACTATGCTGATAAATAAAACTTAATTTCACTTCTACGATATCTCCCATATATCTTATAACAGACATTGAAATACATTTACCTTTGCTAAGTATGAATTGTCCCGAAATTCCGGCTTCAAATCTTCTTTGCTTATGGCGACACGTCGGAATGGTTCGCTCTTCTAGAATGAATGAATAATGAAACAAAGCAAAAATTGACTTTCTGAACTCATACCGGCTTGTGCCAGAGTGGCAGTCAGCGATGTTGCTCTGACATCGACGATCTAGATCAGTGGTTCTCAACCTTTTTGCCCAAGGAACCCCCTTGATAATATGTCAGAATGTCATTCGAAGATTGTCGGACTCAAAAGATGGGCTTCAAACAATACGCGCATAATATTGAAAATCCTATTTTTCTATACTGGTACGTATACATTTATTTGGATTATTTTTATACTGTAGTCTAACAAATTTAATAGCAAGAAAATGGTAACGACTTTTAAAACTTCAAATTAGTTTTTTCATAGGTATACCTAATTACTTATCAGACTAAATTGAAACATAATTCAATAAGCAAAAAGCTCAGCTGAATGCAGGGCACTGTAATTCAGTATATAAAATAACAATATCGTAATTCATTGTAAATCAGCTCACTCAGTTAGCTGCATGAAGCAGACCTACAAATCTAAGAGACCAAATGCACAAAAAACAGAAAACATGGTCATTCTGCTCTTAAGGACAATCCAGCCGCTCTGCTTCGAGTGATTGCTGCCGTCTACCACATCTAACGTAGAACATGACACTACCTCGCTTTCACAAATTTTTCTGTTTAGATTTCAATATAATTTTCGAAACTTGGAACTGGCAATTTTTCCCTAGCTTCATAGCCAGATGCAAGAAAACTGATGAAAGAAATCATCACTTCATAATCTACGGCACGCAACTAGTATGAATTAAAAGTTCGTATAAGTTATTTATGCTGAGTACTTACCTTCCTGCCTTTGCTCTCATTTTTTACACCTTTACTGACAGCCTTCTTAACGTTCGACTGGGACGGTATTAACACGATAAATGCTTATAACTTACTCTGGATGTCTCGTTCTGAGGAGGAAGTTCATTCTCTTCCATGTCACTATCGTCCGTCGACGAAGAACTGGAAGCCTTGGTAATTGCAACGTTTTGCTTTCCTTTCGAAACCTCTGCTTTCTGCTCCTTCTCCGATTCCGAAGAAGTTTCACTTTCTGAGGTACTCTGACGCTTTGAAGAATGGGTTACTACCGCTGACTTCTTAACCACCGCTGTCTGTTTGGAGGGAGTTTGCGGCTTCGCAACGACGTTCACGCCATTCGAAGAACTGTCAGAGTCTGAAGAGGATTCCGTCTCTGCAGGAGGAGCAGTCTTTCGCTGAGATGACTGCTTTCTTGTAGTCGATATCGATGGCACAGACTTCCCTCCCGCTTTTCTGCTCTGTTTGTCGTTCGCTGCTTCGCCTAAATGATTTGTCACATTGATTATAAAGAAAATCAGGCTTTAGCAAAACAGGCTTCAATAAGATATTCTACAGCAGATCACTGCATGTTATACAGCTGAGGATGAAAGTCGAAACTTTTGAAAAACAAAATAATCAAGCATTCCGGACTCCTGCTTGGTGATCCAAATATTAGGATATTAGAGATGAGGGCACGGAAAAAAGATTTTCAGACAAATCATTACTTTAGATCCCAAATTTCAGGGAAGACGAAAGTCAGCTCACGTAGAAACATATAAAAGAACAATAAACCGAAGCAAAAACGGCGGATAAAACAGGTCAAAGAAACAACACGACTGGTAATGATTAAACCGGTTCACCATAAAATTCCAACTTCTCTACCATAACTGAAGAAAAACAACAACGGAGAAAGATCATGCATACTGCGATGATGGAATACAGTTGTGAGTATCCTGCCAAACAAATAAAATAACAGCGAAAGTAGGACACAAACTCAATAAGGTCGACTGACGAAGCTATCGCAAGCGAAGGCTGAAAAATAATTTAATATCAGAAAGACTCCTTGTTCTGGGTAGGACGTCGTGACTGAAAACATCATAGATGAAATGAGGATCACTATCCGTATTAGTCCCTCAAGAAGAAATATTTTTTAACCTCACAACAACGATTAACTGGCTGTACAAAACGAAAACAAACAATATGCAGAAACTGAAAGAAGTTTCAGGAAGCCATTCGATGCATTTATTCCCAAAGAAGGCAAGCTAGAGCATCATAACTGTCACCCTGTGGACACTAATGTAAGCCCATGTACTGATATGGCGGACAGAGAGTGGTAGGATTTATGGATATAACCGTGAATATGACGGAGTGATCACGGCACTAACGTTTCAACACATTTATAACAGGTTGGCTAGGTACTGGTTATCCTTAACCGCTACAAAACGCAAAAGGTAGGTCTATGCTATGTAACTCTACATGCATTCGCGAACTCTGTTATGACTGCTGCATGGAATTAGAGGGAAGCACTACTATTTATTACCCTTCATTTGATTACACGCTCTTCAAAAGTTCGCCTTTGACGCCCAAGTCTTAGAAAGGTAACGACAAAAGTAAAAGAATGCATGGCATAGCGAAGTACAGTGATTTTCTTAATCGCGAAAACTTCTCGTTAGCTTTATCACTATTTCCTAAAGAGGAAATGATTGCAGGGACTGGCAAACCATTTTAAGCCTTTAAAGCAAAACTTGTTTAAACAATGGCACATCAGCGACCAATCTAAGAAGAGAATTGAAAACCTCCATCGGCATTAATTCTTGAAGAAAGAACTGTGAAACGTCGCCAACTTGGGGTTTACCATCTAATCAGAAGATGACGAGTCGTGGGCAAGACTGATATTAGATCTGGATGATGCATAATGGTTGATATTAAGAAATCAGGACATCAGAACATACAGTCGTTCGATTCAATACAACGACGATGACCCGGCAGATAACGGAACAGTTCCCTTGTATCGAAGCCAGTATTGCCAAAACCTTCATACCCTCAATCCTCTAAACAGAATATGACATCTATCATTTGCCACCTAACTTCGTAAAAGAAGTTTGTTAATTAACATAAAACACTTTTCCTGCCTTATGCGAAACAAAAACGAATAATATCATAGGAAAGACGTTTGAACATACTTTTGGCAGGTTTTGGAATAGCCTCCTCTTCGTCATCATCGTCATCAGATGAACTGGAACTGGAACCACTGGAATCAGATTTTTTCACAGCAGACGGCGTAGACTTGCACAATGGAGACTCAAACGAGCGGTCTTTCTGTACTTGCTTCGTTGTCGACGGTGTTTTCACGTCGCCATCCTCGGTAGAATCAGAACTGCTGGAACCGTCTGATTCAGAAGAAGACATTTTGCTTCTGCCTTCTGCTGCTACATTAGATTTTTGCGGTACCGTCGAAGCCGAAGTGACCAGCAAC